GGACGGAGGCTGGAGACCCAGGACTGAGGCTGTAAATGAGGCTCAGGTGATGTGCAAATGTCTGAGTCTAGGTCAGGTTTAGAGCCAGCCCGGCAGACCTGGTGGTTCTGTACATTCTGTGTTTAAGGTGAGGAGAAGCTCTCACACTGAGATGTGAGATGTCCGAGCCACCGCAGACAACACTGTGTCATTCATGCACTGTGCGTCTCACTCGTGTTTACAGTGAAACACACAGACAGAAGGCAATGGAAGCACATCGTTCTAGTGTTGGCTCAACCTTTCACTCTGTAACATAGATGTAGCATATTAGCTGTGGTTAGCAATGATGATCTTTGTACAGTGTTTATAGCAGTTGTAAACAGGATAAGAGATTAAAGCTGGGGCACCTTTTTATAATAAATAGTAAAGATTGATTGTCCAACAGAATTGAAAAAGATAAAGAAAATTAAGATCACATATGGCTGTCGTCATTGTTGTTAAGTTATCCATACCTGCAGATGAATGCCAGATGAAGTTAAGCAGGAAAAGGCCTGTTATTACTGTGATGGGAGACCGCAGGGCACACCAGGTTGCCACAGTAAGGCGGCTGTGGCTGCGATGTGCCATTATGTGGATGTAACCTTAGGCTAGACACTTTACCCACATTAGAATGAGTCTAATGTGTGTGAATGGTTTGTGGTGGGAGGGGCAGATGGCAGTGCCTTGCTTCTGTCAGTGTGCCCTAGGACAGCTGTGGCTTCAGTAGTAGTTTATCCATCTATCCATATATGTATCAATCTATCTATGATTATGCTTGTACAATAAATGTCCAGTTCCCACGAGAACATGACAAAAAAATCCAGATTCTATTAATAACTGATTGTTCTCAGACGAGGTCGTGGCTCGTCTCTGTCTCTGAAAAACATCTTACATTTTCCACTGATGTGTGATGTGTTTGTGGACTGGTGCTCGGCTCAGACGTGTGCTCATGCTCGCCCTCTGACCTGGGGCCCGTGCTCTGGGGGCCGCACACAGGGGCCCGCACACAGGGGCCCGCAGAGCTGAGAGAGTGAAGCTGGAGCAAAGAGAAAGAGTGAAAAGACGTGATGATGTCACAGCGTTCAGACCTGACTCACCAAAAAACCCCTCCACAGCATTCCTCACATACCTCTGTCTCTGTGTCTCTGTGACGCTTCTCTAACTAAATGATTGGACAGTTTTACTCATAAACTCGTCTGAATGAGTGGGAGGCGGTGGACAATGCTGCTTTTCTTTGTCGAGATCCAGAAGACGAGACCAAACAAGATTGCATGATTAGATTAGATAGAACTCAATAGACAGCGATTATTAAGTAATACATTCACTGCAAGACTTTACAAGCTTCTCTTTCAACCGGAAACAGCTGAAGTCAGCAGCACAGTGGTTTTAGTGAATGGGCAAGGCAAGTTTATTTGTACAGCACAGTTCATACACAAGGCAACTCAAAGTGCTTAAAAAAAAAAAAACATTCACAAAAGGTATTATAGTTTCTTTCAGCGCTTTGGTGCATTTCTCACATCACTCTTCACATTTGCACAACAGTTAGTGCATTTATCTGAGCAATTAGTGAAACTGTCTGAGTCTCTGAGTAATACGTCCTGACACCAATGTTTGAGAACAAGTGTAAATGTCTTGGTCATGTTTTCATTGAGATACTTTAGTCTCTCTGTGTTTTCCAAAAAGTCTGATCTTGATGACACTTGGTGAGCACTATACACTGTACAGCCGAAAACTACAGTAAAGTTACACATGACTGTATTTAGTGAAGTAACTGAGTACAAGACACATATGTGTGTATGTACTGTATGTATTTATATGTGTGTATGTACTTTATGTATTTATATGTGTGTATGTACTGTATGCTGTTATATGTGTGTGTGTGTATGTATATGAATTGTATGAAAGTAACTGATACATGTCCAAATGCATATGACATTTGTTTAAAGGAGAACCTTCTACGTTGATGTCTTAAATGACTCAATGTTGTGGAGGTTGAACTAATAGTTTTGAGAACTTGACCTGAGAAATGCACCAAAGCGTCTGAGAATAACTGTAAAATCAAAAGTATGTCACAGTACATTAAAAAAGTGAAGATACAATCCCTCGGTTGTTGTAACTAAACAGCTGTTTAAACCTGGATTTGAACATGTCTCACATTTTCAGGAAGACTGTTCCACGTTTTAGCTGCTTTAAAGTCTATTCTCCGCCACAGAAAGCAGAAACCTGAGCCCAGGACTAATGCGATGGTACTTCCTGGTTCTAGTCAGGACTAGAGTTGCAGAGATTTGAATACACAACATGTATATTTTTAGTAAGTATTTCATGGGATTGATTTGAAGCCAGGGTTTGTTTATTAAGGCTAAGCTTGCATAGATTTATTTAGTGATTACACAACTCTTACTTCAAGGAAATAACAGTACTATATTTCTGGTTCAGTTCTCACCAGGAAGAGGCACCTGTTCGACCTTTTGTTTATGAGTGGAAACTTCCGTGAAAAGCCCAAAGGCTGATAAAAGCCGGGCTCAGGTTCCTCTCACTCTGTGGGGTTTTCTGCCTCAGGGGAATGCACTAAAATCACTGTGACCCATTGATAAAAGCTCAGACCCGCGTCACACAGGCCTCACAGGACGCCATTGTGTTGTTCTGTTTGTTGTATAGAGACACATTGTCACAGGAGGAACTGGCCAATCACAGGACACTGGCTGCATGTGGTGTTTGGAGGAATTCTGTTCATTTGCACATAACAAAGGCTTGTGGTGCTACCGGCAGTGGAAAGCCAGATCTGATCAAGCCTCTGATGCTAAGCAGGACAGGGCCTGGTTAGTACTGTGATGGGAGACCTCTGGGAACACCAGGTGCCACCGTGAGGCGACTGTAAAGTGACAATCTGTCACAATTCTCACAATTGTGTCCTTAGGTAAGACACTCCCACATTATAATTAGTCTGGTGTGTGTGTATGAATAGTTGGTGTTGGTGGGAGGAAATGGTCAGTGTGCCCCAGGGCAGCTGTGACTCCAGTTGTAGTTTATCCCCACTGTGTATGGAGTGAATGAATAAAGACAGTGTCTTTGAGCGTTTAAAAAAGCGCTGTTTAAAACTGATGACAAAATGAGATCTATTGCATATTTGTTAGAGAGAGCCCTGTGAGCCACTTTTTGACATTTTGGGCTAAGAGCTGACAGTGAGCGTGGTGTAAAGCTGATCTAAAGATGTGACAAAGGCCAAACCTTCACTCATGTGACAGCACTGATGGAACCAAACTATTTTGAGGGAAACACAGATTTTTGTTCCATTACTTGTGTTTTGAAATGTAGGTACCCAGCTTTAATGGAGGTGTCATTGAGCAAGTCACTTCACTGATGCACAAAGATACAGAATGTTGCTTTAAATCACAGGGTTTTGCTGATTATACATTATTTGTTGACAATTGATTTCCCTCATGGGCTGAACTGTGTCTCGTGTGGTTTGACCTGTATCCAAAATCTCACACCACAAAAAGAAATCTTGGCCTAAATATGTTTTTTATAAGATAATACAGACATGGGTTAAAGCTGATCAAGATATGATTATATTTTAAGTAGTTTGGTCTGTCGTGTGAAATCGTTTCAATCTGGAGAGACACTGGAGATGCAGTAAATACAGTAATGAAGCAACGATCTTCCTCTGAAACAGTTGTTATTTGTGTTTTACATGCATTATTTTTCTTGATTTTATCTAGCAGTAAATGTTGCTGCAGTACAGTGTTGACGGTTTTTACTGATCCAGAGCAGAGCAGAGATGATTCATGGTCTGAACCGAGCAGATCAGGAGCAAATCCATTGGAGGAGAAATGCTTTTTTTTTAAGAATTCGGCATTTTACTCTGAACCAGAGCAGAGAAAATGGTCCAGACCAAGCTGCTACACCACCTCTGCAGCTGTGACCTAAAGTGCTGTTGCATTTTAATCCTATTTTTGGCTACTTTTAGAATTATTTTTCATTCCATTTGTTTGTATGGTTGGATGTGTTTCTGCTGCATCTGGACAGCTGCATTTCTCCAACAGGGATCAATAAAGAATCTATCTAATGAGTGCATTCTTTAGCGTTATCTCCTCATCATCGCTGACTTTAAAACAAAAATATTCTGAATGATTGCGGAGACAAAGGCATTTGGTGACACTTTGTATATATTGTATTGAGTTGCAAAGTTCTTTATTTTTCTAAAGGCGAGGATATTTTATTTGCATGGCACAGTTCATACATAAGGCAACTCAAAGATATTAGCATCATAAATGATCACAGTGCATTAAAAAGAGTAAAGACACAATCCTTCAGTTGTTGCAGTTAAACAGAACAGTTTTTAACCTGGGTTTAAACATTGTCAGAGATTAAGCCTGTCTCACATTTAAAGGAAGACTGTTCCAGATGTTAGCTGCATAAATCTACTGTTGAGGCGACAGTAGATCAGTTGGTATAGCATTGGCCTTTGAGCCAGAAGGTCGTGGGTTCGAGCCCACCTCAAGACTTTCACCACCGACTCTCACTGTCTGCTGTCGTTGTGTCCTTGGCAAGACACTTAACCTCTGGGAACACCAGCCACAGTGGGGCGGCTGCAGTTGTAAAGTGCCAAACTGCCGTTGTGTCCTTAGGCAAGACACCTCACCCCCATTGCCTAGAATGAGTCTTGTGTGTGAAAATGGTTGGTGGTGGTCGGAGGGGCCGATGACACAGACTGGTTGCCTCGCTTCTGTCAGTTTGCCCCAGGGCAGCTGTGGCTACAGTAGTAGTTTATCACTTTACATTTACGCTTTACATGTCATTATCACAAGAATAAATAATAATGACATGTAAAGCGTCCAAAAAGCGCTATATAACACTATATAGCATTATTATTATTATTATTATTGTTATTATTATTATTTTTACTTCTGCTCCTTTGATATGTTTTTTTAGGGACTACGGAAATAAGTTAAAATCCCAATAATGTGTTGTTTTCTCTTCAGTATTCCCAGACCTGACGTCCTGCCTCGTCTTGCTGCTGTTGTTGGACCTGATTGGCCTGTCTTCGTCTCGTCCCGCCCATACACCCTCACTCTGCTCTCTGATTGGCTCCATGGTCCCCCACTTCGACAGACTCATCAATCTCTCGAAGAAACTGCAGGAGCTGGTGAGTTAGACGTTATACACATACAGAAGCATTATCTGTGTTTATAGATCCAGGACTAAGGCTGTAGATCCAGGACTGAGGCTATAGATCCAGGACTGAGACTGTAGATCCAGGACTGAGACTGTAGATCCAGGACTGAGACTGTAGATCCAGGATTGAGGCTGTAGATCCAGGACTGAGGCTGTAGACCCAGGACTGAGGCTATAGATCCAGGACTGAGACTGTAGATCCAGGACTGAGACTGTAGATCCAGGACTGAGGCTATAGATCCAGGCTGTAGATCCAGGACTGAGGCTGTAGATCCAGGACTGAGACTGTAGATCCAGGGCTGAGGCTGTAGATCCAGGACTGAGACTGTAGATCCAGGACTGAGGCTGCAGATCCAGGACTATGGCTGCAGATCCAGGACTGAGACTGTAGATCCAGGACTGAGACTGTAGATCCAGGACTGAGGCTGTAGATCCAGGACTGAGACTGTAGATCCAGGACTGAGGCTGTAGATCCAGGACTGAGGCTGTAGATCCAGGACTGAGACTGTAGATCCAGGACTGAGGCTGTAGATCCAGGAGGATCTAAAGTAGATAGATGTCGGAAGATGCCGGATGTAGATGTCAGAAATGACATGATGCTGGTATAATAATGCCAATGTAAATAAAGGATGAGGAGATTTACTCATAACATAAAAATGTTACATACCCCAGCTTTTAAGTGAAAGATTTAACAGGTCTGAGGAGAGAGACAAGCACTGGTCAAACCTTTTGCTTTTCTCCCCATTAGGCTAATCTTATAATCTCTTACTCCATGATAGAGCAGGGTCAGTCTGCAGTATTTCAAAGTCGATTTAAAAAAAAACAATTTTCTGACGTCTGTGTTTGTCCTCAGTCCGACGAGGACCTGAGTCTGATCGCTGCAGCAGAGCACAGACTGGACTCTCTGCTGGAAATCCCCCACACAGCCGCTGCCTTCACCCAGCCGTTAAAGGTCCTACACCACACCGCTGTTTATGTACAAATGTATTCTTGTTGTTTTCATTCATGTCTTTATTTATGCGGATGGATCTGTCATCACCAAAGTGTCATGACAGAACTCGACAGAGAGACAGAAAGGTGGAGCTTCATTGTTTGCACCTTCATATTTTAGAGGTTTTCTTCCCAGAGAAATCTTGCATTTTAAATTAAGAAAAAAGTTGTAATTGTAAGAAAAAGGAACGTTCTACTGAAGAAAAACAAAGACAAACAGCTCTGGGTTCAATTCCACCTCCAGACAGAAATCTCGGCAGACAAAGCGGTTTGCATCCTCTCTCCATGTCTCCAGTCTCATATACCACTGTAGAACATTTCAGAATGCAGAGAGTGAGCGAATGGTGGTGATGATGCTATAGTCTGTGTCTCGCTTCTGTTATCACTGTGAGTGAAACGAAGGGGAAAAAAGTGGAAACCCAAAAACTGTGACCATGGTCTTTGAAATGCGCTGTATCGATAAATATGGCTTACTCACTTACTCTTCGCAGATATACCCTTTAACAATGACATAAAGTTACGTCAGAAAAGTTACATTTTGCTCAAGTGTTAAATTGTTGAAAAGTTTAGCTCTATTTTGTTTCCTATTCCTAAAATCTTTCCAACACACGTGACATAAGAGTAGAAAATAAACTGCACAACTTGTTCTACTACTAAATTGTGTGTGTGTACTTCTGGTGTCTGCAGTATCCTTTGGGACTAAAACTAACCTGCGGTGTCTGTCCTCAGGTGAACGAGCCCATCTCTCAGCTCTACAACCTCTCGGAGTCGTACAAGTTACACATGGACTGGTTAAAAACAGCCAGAGAGAATATGAGTCTCTCCTCTCAGCCAGCAGAGGGCGCCAGCCACCACCTGCTCAAGCTCACACACCTGCTGAACTCCAGTCTGCACCAGGTAATGATCACCGAGGACTGGGTCAGGAGTTAGTTATGTGGCTTTGTTTAGAGACTCTTGTTTAGAGGTCTTTCTCTAACAATTTACCTTTTTTACCCTTTAAAGCTGGGGTAACAAACTGTTAACAGAGAAAGTCTATGAAAAGCAGAATTTTTGAACCAAATAAACCACAACAAATAAAAATAACATATAATCTATTTCAGTAAAAATTGCCCTCACTATTTGACTTTTTGGGCTGAGCAAGAGTGGTCCTTTTCACTTTTTGAGTTAAGTTTAAGATCTCCCCCTGTCTCCCCCTCTCACTCCCTCTCTTCCCATCTCACCTGTCTCCCCCTCTCACTCCCTCTCTTCCCATCTCCCCTGTCTCCTCTTCTGTAAAAAATGAATCGATATCACAAGAAAGTTCAGTGTGAAATTGTTTTAATATTGAATATACATATTTGTGTATATAATTATGAATATATTCCCCTCTCTCCCCGCTCTCCCCAGCTGCAGGAGGAGGTCCCCCAGGCCGCACCCCCCTCTC